TCCGGACTTCAACTCCCTGAATTCCCCAGCCAGCATTCGCTGGCTGGGGAATTCTGGGAGTTGCAGTCCGGACATCTTCAAGTTGCCAAGGTTGAGAAACACTGGGGTAAATGACAGAAAATCAATAGTCATTCCCGCTCCCACTGGGTTTTTTTTTTTTTTTTTGCCCACCCATAATCATTCTGTCTCTGTTCAAGTAAGAAGATATCTCTGAAACATTGGCCCAAAGGGTCACTGCTTGTCTACTGAAAACTATAGTTGATCTTTTCTGGGCTTTGAGGGAAGCCAGAACAGGGGCTGCCTTGAGGAAGAGACCAAAATGTCTGTCAGATTACCTGTAAATTGCTCTGCACATTATTGAGATCCAGTGTATTTGAAACACAGGACTCGGGAACAACCGTTCATTGTTGAAGCACATATTACATCAAGTTGCCTCCAGTTAGATATTTTAACTAGTTTTATGATAATCTAGTGATGAACAGCAGAAGTTTATTCCTTATTAAGAAACTAATTGTTCATTATTATTTATCTATCAATAAGTAACTGAAACTCCGATCTGTAGAGATCAAAATGAGGACTAGATAGATGAAGCACAGACCAGGCTTTTCTGATCTTATTCCATCCAAAAATGATAGCTCTGAATTATTATTTTCATTGAACATCTAGAAGGAAGAAGATGCTTCTTGTCTGCTCTATTATAGTTTGCATTAGTTTTATTCTTGTGTTTGCAATTTTCAATAAAATTATATTTTCAAAAATAGAAGAAAGAAAGTAAGTGGACAAAAGTCTGTTTTACAAAAGCACATTCCTCCAAAAAATCAATTTGAACTAGATAATTCTAGTTCTATTTTCCAATCTGAATGAGCCATAGTACAATTAAATGAAATGACATTTTTTATTGTAAAGAATTAAATAGCCCTAGTATATTGTACCATATAATACATTATATCACTTTTTATCAAAAACACTCTCTCTAACCCCTATTAAAGACATTGAAAATCCAGTGTAGAAAATTTATCTACATAATATATTATTTCTCTTTGGATATCCAATATTATATAGGGGTGAGTTAAGATAATTTAAATGAATTAATTGAGATATAAGAAAAAGTGTAATTAAATTTCTTTAGACCAATATCATTCACTATACACTGTCTATCTTCACCACCATCTTTATTTCCACCATATCACCATATCCACCATATGAATTATATGATACCTTTTGTTCTTTAAACTTATTTTTCTTCCTATTTTTGTTTTGTTTGTTTGTTTTTTGGTCTTTCTTGTCTTATATTGCATTTGCAATTTAATCCTGATTCATTTGTTATCTATGCCCAAACCACAAATGTGCTTTTATACTTGCCATTTATTTTTGCATTTTATTCATATTCATTCAATATTCATTCATTCTCAACCCTCTCTCTACATTTTATTATAAACACTTACATATTTGTATTCCCACTACATTATACCAGTGCTTATATTAGTCTTTTGAAAGGTCCAATCACTTTTTCTGTACTCTCCTGTCTCATTCCCATCCATTCATTCACGTGAAGAACGGTTGCAGGAACTGGGTATGTCTACTGTAATAGAAAGAAGGACTAGGGGAGACATGATAGCAGTGTTCCAATATCTCAGGGGTTGCCACAAAGAAAAGGGAGTCAAACTATTTTCCAAGGCACCTGAGGGTAGAACAAGAAGCAATGGGTGGAAACTAATCAAGGAGAGAAGCAACTTAGAAATGAGGAGAAATTTCCTGACAGTTAGAACAATTAAACAGCTTGCCTCCAGAAGTTGTGAATGCCCCAACACTGGAAGTCTTTAAGAAGATGTTGGATAGCCATTTGTTTGGAACAGTATAGGGTTTCCTGCCTAGGCAGGGGGTTGGACTAGAAGACCTCCAAGGTCCCTTCCAACTCTGTTGTTGTATTGTATTGTACTAATCTAACAGAATAATTTTTCACTAAATTTTGCCAAATTGCATCCATTCGGAATGTTGCACATTTTCTCCAAACTCATCACTTTTCACTGAAAGGTAACATGTATCAGTTTGTTGATTCCCACTTTCACACATATCTATAACTTGTATGCAAGTCATGTGACATATAATTTAGCCCTTTTACTCACAATTTGCACTTTTACTTCCCTGCATCAGCTCCATTTACAAAGGCAGAGCACCTTAGTTCAAGTTGTATCTTTTATATGCCATAGTTATTACCATGGCTTTAGTTATTTTGTACAACACAAGGTGTTCTATATAATGCTATATGCTCTTCCATAAAAGATTATAGTAGAATATTTTTCGAAACTACCCTATGGGATAGATTGGGTTGAAAGCCACATAGTCAGCTCCTGTGCTGAGGGAGGACTGGAACTTTGGTTTCCTGGTTCCTAGTGCAGCACATTAAACTACTACACAAAGCAGATTACAGTACAGTACAGATGTCACAAAGTCATCCCATGTCCTTCCATGGCTGAGAGTGAACGAACCTGGCCTCTATAATCCTAGCACAACAGCTTTATTACTACACCACATTGACTCTTTTGAAGTTGAATTTCTGGTTGTTGCTTTTTGAGTTAGCAAGTCTCCTCTGAGGCAGCAATTGAAAATTCTCACTTTCAAAATTAACTTACTAAAACTTTCACTGGCCCAACCAATCTTGTCAATCTTGACATGGCCTCTACAGAGTCGAATTAAAAATATATCAGCTACCCTTAGTCTGAATTTATGCCTGATTCCAGTGCCTACTTTTCTCTAAGTTGCACCATTTTTTTCCCACATTGAAATTTCATGTCGTGTTCACACAATGTCTGAGAGATATCCATATCCCTGCCCTCAGCTCAGAATTATTCCCTTGGTGTCACAAAGTTGCTTCAAGGGGATCCAAGGAGATGTACCTAGAACCATTATTCCCAAATTTACTTCTTCCATCAACTAAGTCAGTGTAATCTTTTTTTTGTAAGTGTGTCATTGTGCATGAAGAAAAAACCTCTGTTACTGCCTGCACAGAATAAGAAAAACAAATGGAAATAATATTAAAATGCAAGGACATTGAAATCAAGGAACTCCCTTCCTGTGACTAAATGCAAACTTAAATTGTTTAATCAATTCTAACAGTTAATTATTCAGCATCAAGTTTCCCCACCTCAAATTTCTGGGCTTCAGAAATCACCAAACAAGTTCTCTGAAGAAGTACATATAGTCCTTGACTTGCGACCACAACTGAACTCAAAATTTCTGTTGCTAAGTAAAATAGTTGTTAAGTGAATTTTGTCCCGTTTTATGACCTTTCATGCCACAGTTGTTAAGTGAATCTTTGCAGTTAATGATTCAGTTACTGCAGTTACTAGCACTGTTCTTAAGTGAATCTTGCTTCTCCGTTGGCTTTGCTTGTCAGAAGGTCACAAAAGGGGATCACATGCCCCAGAACACTGCAACTGCCATAAATATGAGTCAGTTGCCAAGCATCCAAATTTTGATCACGTGACCACGGGAATGCTGCAATGGTCATTAGTGTGAAAAATGGTCATAAATCAACTTTTTTCAGTGTCATAATTTTGAATAGTCACCAAATGAATGGTGCTAAGTTGAGGACTACTGTCATGTCAGCAAGGTCAGACTACAGTTATCACATTTACCAGGCATTAAAAGTATGAATTAAAATCTTAAGTTTTTCACATTTTATTGTCAAGCATGAAAACACCCTAAACTGAGGAGTCCGACCTCCTGCTTTCTATCTTTGTTTTTCTCAGGATTCATTGTCAGCAGAAATCCAACAATAAAGATGGCCCAATGGATTTCATTTCATCGCTCTAGCTTACCCAAGGTGTCGTGAAAGAAGGGGAAACTGAATAGAGTAGAGTAAAAAGATATGGAGGAAGAAGTGTAATACAAAGCAAGAGAGAGACAAAAAAAGAACTACATGAATACTAAAATATGTATAGTTGCAGTTACATCTATAAACTTCCAGCTCTATCGTGCTACATGGGGGATGCACAAATGTAAAATTCCCTTCTCATATAACATACAGCCAGAAAAGTGGAAATTTTGAAATTGATCACCAAAAATATTTTCCTAATATAAAGCAGAAATGAAAAAGATACAATAGATTTTCTAAAAAAACAACATCCCAAGGAGTTGTTTCAGAAATGTAAATTCATTAATTTGAATCAGTTTCAGAAAAACTGTATAAGTTCTTAGGAATGTAAGAAAAGTTATTTAAAAATGAAATGTGAATTAACATTTTAAGTAATAAACATGAACTTACATCTTGATTTTAAATTTTATCACCCAACTATAAGGTTTCTTTGCCTTATTAAATTTCGTCCTAGGTTCAGACGTAGGAGAACAAATCCATTCTTACTCTCCACATGTTAGAGTTGACCTTAAGGTTTTTAAATTTATCATTTGGTATATAATATCCTAATTCTATCCTAGATATGATGAACTGCACATATATCTAATAAATAAATATGTATCTGTACAGTCACATGACTGTATCTCAACGAAACAGACCAAGATGTTTTGCCCCAACAAACAGTTCCTTTTCTTTTCTTTTTATAGCACACAAACATAATGGATTTATTAATTAAGTTTTTATTTACTCAAAAAATAAATATGATCTGTAGCATAAATCAGGATCTTAAACAGACTTCAAACTATGAAACATAACAGATAAAAAAAGAAATTATGACTGAAGATTTCTTAGTTTAACAATAATCCCCAAAGACTGGTTTTGAGCCAGCAACTATTTCATTCATATCTCAGCTTTTGTCTTAGGTCTTAAGCGAAGATTATGCTCTGCAAATAATTGTCTGAAGATTAATATAACTTTTTACACAAATTAAATAAAATGAAGGAAATGAAGAAATCTTAACTGGTCTTTTGTTAAAAAGAACATTTTTTAAAAAAAAAAAAGCTAAGTATTTTAACATAAAGTTTATCATATTCACTCATGTAAGCAATAAAATATAAAAACAGAAAGAACTACGAATACTTACTAGATGAACGTAAGGTATGAAATATCCAAATAAAGCAGCTGGAATCCCCAGTGCCCAGATTCTATAACTCAGAATTTTGAAAATGGAAAAATTGCACACTTCTTTAGCTGGAGGTAATTTGAACTTCTTCCCTTTTTCACTTTGTTTGGTATTAGGCGTGACAGGTTTGTAAGTAAAGCCAGCCAGGAAGAGAATAAATAAAAAAATGCATAGGATTCGAAAAGTCCCATAGAGGCCAACAGAATTGACCAGTGTATCTAAAAGAAAGGGCAGTGTTATAGTAAACAAACTACTCCCGGCGGTAACAATGCCATTCACTAGTCCCAGGCGCTTCTTGAAATAATGTCCCAAAATGACCAGGGATGGCTGATAGCTAAATGAGCAGCCAGCGCCAAACAAGATTCCATAAGTGAAATACAGCGGTCCAAGTGAGCTACAACAAATAGAAAACAGTGTTAACTGTGATCTTTGGCATATTTCCTTTTTTAATTTTTCAATTTTGTTTTATATATAGACATTTGGATATTTTTAGGAAATCACAAATAATTTAGTACTTATGATGCTGGCTCTACTCTAAAATATTGTTTGTGTCATATCTAAAAGGCTATCTTTCTATAATGTTTACATGAGCCAACTTTTATCCCAAAAATGTACTTTTGCATAGTTCAAACCAACATTAATTATACATTAAATATATTTTCTGACACTATGTTTTTCACATGGTTTGCATAATAAAGACAAATATTTCTTGTGGTATGGAAATTATAATTCTATTATAGCCTAAAATTACATATAACCTTTCCTACAGTTATATCACATTGTTGATTCATATTCAGATTCTATTCCCATCATATACTTGATCATTTGGTTCCTATTTCCTAAAAGAACAGTAATAAGGTGTATGCTACATTTTGTTTTGTTATTTTCATCCAATTCATCTAATTTATGAAGATTAAATCAAACTGAATTTTATTTTTGTCTTTCATATTCACAGTCTCCAAATTTTTGATTGCATTTTTATATTTTGTAAAAAAAATGAGCATCCTCAATTATTTATAAATTACATCCATGTAGTACTATTATAATATATTATGCACATTATAAAATATACACCTAAATATATGTATTTTAAAAGAATGAGATAAATATAGACATTTTATTTTTTCTTGCACTCCCATGGATCATCTTGTGCATATCCCATTTTTGAGACCAGTATTCTAGCTGTGCCAGTAAATCCGTACCATTTGTAAATTTGATAAATGTACTGTTTATCTCTTCTGTGGGCATATAAAAAAGCATCTTCTGAAACGTTCATTAGCTTACTGGAAGTGTCAAGAGAAGCTTCACAGCATGATTGAAATGCATGAATAGAAACAATTTCCAGCTACTGGAACTGGTAAATGAGGCCGAAAGCAAAACCACACATCCACTCTACTTCCAGAAGTGATTAACTAAATAGATAAAGAGAAAATATCTCTACTAAATATTCAGATGGAATGTAAAGTGCTACTATATGCACCCTTAATGATCCAGGGATGTATAATAGAATTTTTCCCAATACTGTACACCATTTTAAAATCCTATGCCTTTTTACAAAGTACTTTGAACAATCTTTTCAAATTTGAAAAAGAAGATCTGAATGATTTTGTCTTGAACAAATGGTGTAGAGACATATGCAGGTAACCTTGAAGAAGGAATACAAGGGCAGTTACATAAGCATTAACTTAGTCCTAAAAGAGAAGAAAGTGTGACAAAGAAACTCAAGATTGTCTGGCTTTGATTTGCTTAAGTATAAGGTTCAGAGGAGAAAGAAACTGTTGTGCTTTCAAGATTCTGTTCCTATACATTATAACCAGTGGTGAGCTACAAATTTTTTTAACAACCGGTTCTCTATGCTAATGACTGGCTGGCTCGGAATGGCCAACTCGATGTCATATGCGTCAAGGGGTGCTTCACCTCGCCTGCCCTCTCATGACCGTGGGGATACTGCAATGGTCATAAGTGTGAAAAACGGTCATAAGTCACTTTTTTCAGTGCCCTTGTAACTTTGAATAGTCACTAAATGAACTCTTGTAAGAATTACCTGTATAAAAATACAAAAAGCTTCTTTGCTTGCAAAAAGCTGCCCTAAATACCAGACATTAGATTAGAAATGGGGAATGCACATTGAAGATCAATGAGCTACAGCTGTCCTTTTCCTCAGGTGATACCTGCACCTGGAGTTACAAATCAGGCAGGTTGACAGAGCACATTGAGGAATTAAAATAGCTAAAATACAAGGATAACTATCAGCAGCCTTGCTGCAGGGAATTTTTGCCTATGAATAAAGCTATCTATTTCTTTATGTCTTAAGTGCTAACACCTTTTGTGGGCTCTTAAGGAAGATGGGGGTTGCTTTCTCCCTCTAATCATGTGCCTTGCCCACTCTGAAGCAATGCAAGAGACTCCTGTCCCAAAGGTGCTTTTTCAAGAGGCAACTGGACTTTCTGGAAACCAAGAAAGTCTACTTGCCTCTTGAACAAGTACCTTTGGGACAACCATGACCTGGATGACTGAAGAATCCCCATAGACAAGACACTCCTGTGCTCAGTGAACTGACAAAGTGCAGTTTCCCACCCAAGAGAAGCAATCTTTAGATCCATTTGCACCACTTTAAAGATACCAGCTGGTCTCACTCATCTCACAAGATATCCTCAGGTAATTATCCAGATTTAAGGAAAGATCTCACGCCCCCAGAAAGGCAGTAGAAAAATCAGACAGAATGCCAAGCTTGCATCCTGCCTCTCAGCCATTTCTTCTATGGCTATGCTAACCCTTCTGTAAATAGGTGTTTTAGCCGTGTTGGAAGTATACTCCAAAAAGCTTAAAACAACCTTTCAACATTCTTTAAGAAAGTCAAGCCCCAGGAATAAAAGTACCACAAAAAAATCTGGGGGTGGGGGGGATGGACTCCGGAGAATCTCAGTCTATAGACAGAAAGTCTGGACTTAAGGCTTATAATGTAATAATCTTAACCCAGAGGCAGTTTCTGAAAACACTTAAAGCAGCAAGGCAATTAAGATAAGGATTGGGCTAGAAATACAGGCATACCAGAATGTTTCCTTCCTGCCTCCCTTGCAGGATTAGCCCTGTAAAGTGGGAAAAGATTTCCTCCAATAACCTGTTCTCCGAACTGCTCAGAAAATTAACATCCAGTTCAGAAGAACGGGTGTGAACTGGTAGCAGCCTACCTCTGACCTCAACCATAAAACATTTCCTGTGATCTGGGTGGAATTTCTTTATCTCAAAGCATTGACAAATAGGCACAAAGAGTTCATAGCTCAAGAGCAGTCCATGCAAAATCTCACTATTTTCTTGAATATACAATAATCCCCGGGGTAACATGTTTTCTCACTTTCAATACAAAAATAACATAGAGCAATATGAGGAAAAGTTCATTTACACAAACCCCAGAAATGGCTGCTTAAATCATGCTTGATGACAGAACAAATCATGAGCTTAAGAGGGTGCTGTTAGATTCTAAAGTGCTAGGATAATATTTTAAATATGACATAATTTTAGTGTTTCTGTTCTGTCATCAAGCATGATTTAAGATCAAGATCATGATCCAATGATAGGAAGTTGGGAGGTTGGGCAGAAAAAATATTAGAGTTGTCAAGGGAGTGCCCAAATATACTGCTAGAGGCCAACTGCATTCTGAAAAGTCAGTAAAATTTAGTATTCTTACCGTACAAAGGAGCTTGAAAGGAGCCCAACGAAAGCCACAGCTGCTCCTACTACAGCTACTTTTCGACAACCAAACAAGTTGGTAAATACACTGACAATGGGAGAACAGAAGAAAATCATCCCCATCGATAAAGAATTCACCAATGCTACAGGAAAGATTAAAAATTAAGAGTTGATTTAGCATGACAGGTTTGATAATATGCAGTGTAATATTTATTCCAGTTTTCAGATAGTGTGAAACAAAATATGGCAAACGAATAATAATTTGTATTTTGAAAAGCTCAAGTGGACTCGAAATTTAACATTTTAAAAGATAGGAACTGGTATAGACATGTTTTCTATAAATTTGCAAATACTTATAAAGCTATATTATAAATATATATTGAAAACCACCCTAAGGGTTGGAAGTGGGAGATATATAGATTACTGAATGTGCATAAATAAATATACAGATAAACCATTATTTGAAAGATTGTTTCCCATCTTTTTTTTTAAATGAGATTTTGACATGACAAAATAATTTCTTGAGACTAGAAATGAATATTATATGACTTTCTACTTGCACAAAGACTGATATTGCAGAGTTTGGAAAGATCCTTTATCAATTACAACAATCTGAATATCTTTTCTGTCCATATGTCAATAAACATTGTACTTCTCAGAGACTCTTCTGGAAGATAATTTAGAAAATGAGACTGCAGAACTATTTATAGAAGTTTTTATTTCTGATTTAATTGCTTTTGTAAATAACTATAATTTGATATTAAAAAATCTCTTAACAAGATGCTTCTTGTTTAATTAAACTGTAAGAGATTAATTCTTGTCATATTTTCCCTTTACATACAATGTTTCATACACAAAACACACACACACACACACACAAAGACTGACATATAGAACTTATTTCCTTATTGTGCAATAACCATAGAAAACGTAACTTACATGAAAAAGAGGTTCAATGTGATTTTACTGGAAGTAATTGTCAGGTTCAAGTAATCAGAAATAGGAGTTGAGTTCAAAGCGCTAAAAGTCTACTACATGCTACGGATACACAATAATTCGATCTACTAATTGTCAAACCAAATTGGCATTAGATAAGGGTCAATGGAGGGAGAATATAATGACTCCAAACTGATGACACATTTGACCCCACTATCAGGCTTAGTCTGCTCATCTCCTACAGTAATTCTGTCACTAAGCAATGCAGTCATAAAGTAAAATATCATGTGACTATACCCAGTTTATGATGTCAGTTCCAGTTGCTGCCATTAAGCAAATCACCTCGGTCAATAAGAATGAAGTATTATGACCAAAACTTGAGACTTCCCATTGACTTTGCTTGTTGGAAGCAAACTGTGAGGTCACGAATGGTGATCCTTGACCACAGGAACACTGCGATAGCCGTAAATTCAAGGACTAGTCATAAAACTCCTTTTCAGTGCAAATGTACCTTTGAATGGTTGCTGAACAAACAGTCAATAAGCAAAGACTACTTGTAGTTTATAAAAAAACTGAATGTAATTTTTTTTAATATCCACTCCAATATATTATACCTGAACTCTCACTGTAAAATTACCATAAATTAAAACTATGGATGGTGATGATTACTTACAAACTGAACAGAATTCTTCATAGCTTTTTTGAAACAATAAATACTTAGTAAATATTTATATATAAACTTTATCAACTAATGTTGATTATAGTTACTAAATTAGCTATAAATTCAAGGGCATGGTAATGAAAATAATCTTTTATGGCTATGAACATGCATATCTGCAAGACTGTCTGCTCCAAAAGGAATCTGCCCATCGGATCATCTTCAAAGACCCACAAGGAGATCTTATCTATGGTAGACCTTCTCTTCTGGAACAGCTGGTCCATCATCCATATCAATGTTCTGCAGTGGTATTAATATTCAGATGTTTTATAGAATACAGATGGGCAGGGTTTTTTGAAACCAGGGCTGAATAATAAGTTTTGTGGGGACAGTGGCTATTAAATTCAAAACTACTGTGTTCTGAGAACTTAAAAAGGGTTAACAAAAAAAAAGTCTACACCACCCATCCAAAGTCACAAGTTTTGCTACTACATTTTGGGAGGCAGCAAAATGTGCCAGATGCCTCTGCCTCCCAACTGCTCTCTCTCTCAGATTATTATTCTCCTACAGCTATCAATAGAAGGGAAGCAGGGCTCTGTCCCTCATATCCAGCTGTATGGTAATGAGCTGAAACTCTGGAATGATGCTGTTTATAAATTTTAACAATCAATCAATCCCCATGAGCTGCAAAAAATTCAACTACAGACTTCATGCTAAGGGTGCGCTTTTAAACCATTAAGATTCTAAACTTCATTAGACTCAAAAAGTCCTTGAAAAAGTACTTTAGAGAAAATGAATGGTGTAAAAGAGGAAAACATTTGGAGCATTCAAATCTTTAGTGCCTTAAAATCAGAGGTGGTATTCAGCAGGTTATGACCAGTTCTGGAGAACCGGTAGTGAAAATTTTGAGTAGTTCAGAGAACCAGTAAATACCACCTCTGACTCACCCCATCCCCATCAGTCCCAGCTGATCGGGAGGAAAAGAATGTTGGTCTTACCTGAACGTGTCTTTTAGGTGATGTGGAGGGAGGGGTCACGGCAGGGTTTTATCACAGCCTGATTGGTCTGTTAGACTGAGAGAAAACTTCTTAGTCTTCAGCTATCCCATTGGCTCCCAGTTTCCTTGATGGCGAACAGTGTCCTTATCTGTGAACAAAACACACAGAGACCCCAGGAGAGACCTCCCAGCCCCCCCCTGGACCTTAACTCAACTAGCTAGGGTGGGAGCGTGACCCCTCCCTCCACATCACCTAAAAGACACGTTCAGGTAAGACCAACATTCTTTTCCTCCCGATCAGCTCGGACTGATGGTGGGGGGGTGAGTCAGAGGTGGTATTTACTGGTTCTCTGCACTACTCAAAATTTTCACTAC